GAAAGAGATTCCAGACGAGGAAAATAGAGACAGAGAGGAAAAAAGAGGAAACAGAGAAAAAAAAAGAGGAAAACCGAGCAGGTTTCACGCAGGCAGAGAGGAGGAGGAATTGCATTCTCTTTACATAGTCATCTGTAACCCACAGAGCAGACTGTGTGATGGTGCACCAGTACGGTAAGAGAGCACAGGAGTATTTAGGTCAGTCAAAATTAGGGTGTGTTTTTACAGGACCGAGCCCAGCTACTCTACATGCAGCTATCGCTGTGACACACCATCTTGCTGTTCCCAAAAGAAAAACCCCGGCTTTATTTGTTTATTCTACATCATCAGGAATTGGTTTGAGGACCTCACAAAAGCAGAAGAATGAGGAATTTAAGGTTGCCAAATTCGGACTTGCACACCAGAATACCTTTGTGTTACCCCCTAGCAGCAGCCTGTCTGCGCAGGGCGGAACAGGAATGGCCCATCGGTCCTCGGCAGTAGCTGCAGCACCGGGGAATTTTAGGGTCCTCTCTCCTGGTTATGAAACTGTCCCGATCAAGCTGCCGGGGGAGTCTGTGGTAAAGCACTCGCAGTCAGAATCACTCCCCTCTTATCGAAAGCTCTCTCAAACTCCTGGACCCCAGACATGGGGCTGGGGGTGATTTCACTCCTTTATTTCTCTGTTTGACCCTGGAAAGGGAGGGGAAGGGAAAACGGCAGGGCGGAGCTTCAGGGGGGAAAATTACTTTCTCAGCAACAAACAAAAAAAATTACAAGTTAAATATCACACAAAACACTCCCATACAACTTATTAAATGATGATTGTTCTAATGTCAGAGGAAGCGCCGTGAAGCTAAGGCAGAAGGCAGCACAGCCCCCTGCCACGCCGCGCCCGGCAGCGGCGCTGCCTTGCCCTTCGCCTGCTTTCCACACAGCCCCTTGGGGGATCACCCGGGCCGGGAACGAGCTGGGAAGAACCCCGAATCGCAGAATCACACCGCGTTTCATCCCTCCTGACCGTTACTAGACCTTTCTCTCATGTTTTTGGATTTTAACTGCAACAAACGCACAGGCGGATCAAACCCATGCTGGCTCTGAACTGAACAAAAAATAATAAATAAATACCAAGCACAGACAGAGCAGAGGTGTCGGACCCGAGCGGGATCAGGGGCTTTGGTTTCCCTTCTGTCTCCCCTCCCCGAGGAGCGCTGAGCTCTTTAACCCTTTGCTTAAGCTCAGAGCAAACAGCGTGAGCCGAGCGGGGAGTGAGCTCCGCCAACACAGACGTACCTTAAAAATTGAAGCCTGGCTTCAAGCAGCACAAATGTATGTCCTAATTGTACCTCGTACTGCACGTTAAGCCATCCAGATGACACTCACATTCTGGTGTTAATAAGCCATTTGTCCATCTGGTGCCTGTACAGATTACACGCCCTCTCAATGGCATTTTAAAAGTGAAACGTATCAACTCTATAAATACATAGATAATGTCTGAAAAGAAACGCCACAGAAATCAAGTACAAACCGGTGTTGATGAACATGGTGACTGGAGCTAAATCGCACCGTGTAAATCCTAATGTGTCTGTGCTGATCCCGGGGAAGTGCTTATTTGCAGTTTTAACCGGGAGAAACCAACAGCAGCAGCCACTCGCGTGACACCGCAGGAACAAAAGACGACACAAGTGTTGACCACTTCTTACCTCCGTACAGCACCCGGACCCCGACCCTCCTGGCAGACGGCCGGCATTTCCGGGGATGAGCGCCCAAATTAAGGGAATCAGACAGAGGTATATGTGCCCAAAGCAGCTTCTGGCCCTTTCTGCGGTACAGAGCGAGTTATGGCTCACATACACGGGGCACAACTGCGGGGGACTATGGATGCAGATCATCAGCAGGGAGAATTTAGAGACAGATTTGTACCGGCAGCTAGGGTAGGTTTTACTCTTACGAATCAAACTTGCCACAGAAAGTCTAGAAAAATCAGATTTCAGAGGCAAGAAGCCATGTGTCCAACTCCATACCTTTGTCTGTAGAAAACTGTTCCCTGCAGAGTATTTTTCTGGCACAGCCTGGCTTAGGCAGGCAGTTTGCAGTAGGTCTCCCTTTCCCAGAGCATCACACTGTTAGATGAGGGAATCTCAATTTAAAACAAAATATTTACACTGCAAACAAAGCCAGCCTTCCTGAAGAGCAGTAATTGCAAACAATCTCTTCTGTGCAAAGTTAGAGAGTCTGGTAATTCTAAGCAGTTAAGTTTCAGGGAAATGTTACAGAAAATTGATATTCTTGCAACACAATGTTCTAAAGGGAGCATCTTCACACCACCTTTTGCCAGGAGGAAATAATCAGGGAAGGCTTTTTCCTGTTCTCCTGCCTCTTACTGTTCTAGAGAGGAAGGACAGAAAGTCCTCATTAACAAAGGGAAACTTAGGAACCAACATGAGAAAGTGGGGCATGCACGCTATTTTTTTTCTGGACAGAACAGCAGTCTTTTACTGATAAACAAAGGGGATGAAATTGCTAATTACAGCCTGGAGCTAGGAAGACTTCTATTAGGAGTATCATGCTGGAGTCTGAGCACCTGTTCTCAACAGAAAGAAGTGTTTTGTCTCCAAAGGACAGACCAGAATTAGACTGGCTGCAACCTTTTATGAGGCCGTAGCACCTCTCCAGTCATTAGACCAGACTGATTAAAACTGCTTTGATCCTCTTCTCCTTGTACTGACCTGGCTTTTTGCCCAGCCTGGCACATTTGACTTTGCAGGAGGCTTTTGTTTCAATTTTACAACCCGTTTAATAGCTTGAATTCCTAAAGAGATCCTTTCAGAACTACAGTACACTACCATAAAATATTACACCATAGCAGTCTACTCTTTTGTTGCCCTGTGCGACTGCAGGCAGACATTCGTTCCTCTGTTACGACTTCCATCCATCCTGCTTCCCTCCCTCCCAATCACAATCAAACCCTACAGGTCTGAGAGGCTTTTCAATGCTACGCTGAGGGTGTGTGGAAATAGAGGATGTTCTGTCCGAGGAACAGCATCAATAAGGTTTCTTGCTTAGACCCTCAACAGCCTGACGCTTGGGTCTGATCAGACGCATGCTCATCGAGGTCTCTTTTCTGCAAAAAGCCTTAAACTGAACTCAACAAAAAAGCGAAGCTACATTTATCATTCTGCTGGTGAGAGGGAGAGGAAGAAACCGCTGAAACATGAAGCCTCTTGATGTATTCATCTGTACTTTTGAATAAAGAGCTAGAAAGCAATGCATAATCCCAACACACATATTTCACACTGTTCCCAGGTACAGCAGGATGCTGCAGGATACAGTATGACCTTGGTATTAACAAGCAGTGACCAGTATTTGACTAAAGGAAGGATAATTACTGCACAGCGCCTGGCTATCAAACTACTCTAGCGATCTGGCAACATTTTATTTCCCCTAATGGTCACAAGAACATTTGTTCCTGAAGGTTTTCAGAATGATCTGGCAGGTAAAGCACCTGACTGGAGCCAAGAGGAGGAGCTCGGTAATGGGTTTTTAAACTTACCTGCTGCGACCTTCAGACATTTGCTGTATCTCTTACTTTTTCTTTTATCGATACTTGATATTCATTCTTCAGAGTCCAGACAACCGTGCAACACAGTGAGACTTAAATAAGTGTTTTTACTTTCAAGTGTCATAGTGCCAGACTTGTAACTCAAGCTAACAGCAGAATATACAGAGGATATTCAACACAGAGAAACTCAAGCACCTGAAAATTATCAGCCAGCACTGTACAGCCAAAGAATTCTTCTTACAAGGTTTAACCCCTGGACAAAGGTTAACACCACACTGAAAAATGCATTTTGGTCAATAAGAATACGGTTACACAGGTCTAACAATTACTGACAGAGGCTCTCCACTTAAACCTGGCCAGCAGTGCTCTCTCTACTTCTCAGAGGAAAGCCTCTCACTGAATACTATCCAGATAAAACGGAAGCATTAATGTGCCAACTTGAATATATATTTAATAACTTTGCACAGATTTGAGACATGGGCATTTAATGTTTGATTAAGCTCTGAATCCATGTCAAGAGAGAAACTAAGAGAACTCCAACAAGATATCGATGACTTACAACTCACTGAAATAATTTAACACATACACACAAAGAACAGTTAAGGTATGGCTAAGAGCTGTACATTCCACCTGAAGCTCAGACGTTACTACCAGCATTTCCAGGATGCTTATTCCTTCTTCCACTACTACCCATTGATGCGGTAATTCACATGGATTTCGGGTTTGATGTCACACACTAGCGACAACAGCTGGGAGAGGACCACCTCACGGTTCTTCTGGAAGTTCTGCTGGATCACGCTCATCTTTTCCTGGGTCTCTTTCTCAACTTCAGTGGTGCAGCTGCCATGAGATCCAAGTGCCTACAAATAGCAAAGAAAAGAGAAAGCTCATATGTGAGTAGTTTGACAAAGAAAACACTGTGCCTAGCTCTGTACTTGTTATTCTGGACTGCATCTCAACCATAGATCTTTGAGGGAGGAACTGCACTATTAAAAAAATAAAAAAGTACTGTTGAATTCTCTGCTCAGATCTACCACTAAACCTGCCCAAGTTTGTATTTCACCCACAGCCCATGCCTTTTATCCTCTCTTATTCGTTATCCACCAGTTTAGAGCACGGGCTTCTAAAGAGTGCCTGAAATAAAGGTCCTGCTGTACTGGTGACTGGAACCAGGAACCGCTGGGCACTACCGTACTAGATAGTGTAAGTAACCCATGATTTAGTTTAAGCACATTCTTCACACCATCCCATTGCTTCTACCCTTGGAGAAACTTCATAAAAACAGGACTGTGGGTCATGCGATACACACAGCAAGGAGTCTCTCACAGCTTACAATGCTATTCTTGCCCCATAAGCAACCTGGAATTGCTTGGTATCATACGCCTATTGAACCAAGCTAACAAGTGCTTGTAAAATATTAATCTTGACCTACTGACATGAAGGCTATTACGCAGAACAGAGGAGGTGGTACTGTGCTAACCAGATGATGGACATAGGGGAAGGTTGCCAGTTCATTTTCCGAAGATTTCAGAACTGACAGGAGCATGCAGGCAGTGGAAACAATCTGACTGTGTTACAGCCCTCAGCAGGTAAAGGGTCCCAGTTCTGCACCTTTTGGGAATACCTCCTCTTGATCAAAAGGAAAGGAAAACACACCCCTCGGGACACAGCAAGCAAGACTGCTAAGCAGAACGCAGGCCTTACAGCTACTTCAGCAAGAGTGCAGCATCTATGAGGCAAGCAGTTTCTATCATGTTCACAGAATCACAGACTGGTCAGGGTTGGAAGGGCTCTCTGGAGCTCACCCAGTCCAACCCCCCTGCCAGAGCAGGGGCACCTCCAGCAGCTGTTAGCATTGCAGAAACCAGCTTGTCACAGGAGGAATGAGCTTGGTCTTTTTTTGACACTGCTAAATACAGCAGGTTTTGAGAGGCTGCCACCCATCAGGGCTCCAGCCAGTACACAGGCTTATTAAGCTAATTCACTGCCAGTCAATAGTTCTGGCTGCTGAGATACAATACACCATGTTCTGATTCACTTCCACTTTTTTTTCCCCCCCATGACACGTGGCTGTGCATCAGAGGAAGGCAGTTAGGGAAGTACTCCTCCGACAACACATTCTACCCCAAGGGCTGCTCTCAGGGCAAGTAACCCCAAACGCAAGGCTAAGGGGCTGGGCAGGTAACAGCGAATGATCGAGAAAACAAACCGCTGCTTCCTTGGCTTTGAACTCCTTCTCCCTCTGCAGGCGGTACTGCTCAATCTCTGCCTGGGCTTCTTCTTTTGCCTGCTTCAGCCTCCGATTCTTTCCTGTTTCCAAAGAACATACCAAATGAAATAAAGAAGACAAAGTACTGAGAGCATATTTCCCCATGCTTCTCCAGCTGCCCAATGCACAGCAATCACTGCAGCATTTGCTATTGCAGCAGCTCCTTCTGTAGCAAGCATCTGCAGGGCATCACACACCCCCACGACCCCTCCAGCTTTGCTGTGTTAGCCAACCCCAGGAGCACGAGGTTGCCCTGTGTGCCACCAAACCATTGCCAAGCTCACCACGCAACGAGCTTCCACCAGCAAGAAACAGAGAGGTTCCCTGAATCAGTGGACACATTAGACAACCTGCAGGTCTCGCCTTGGTCATGTGAGTGTGCAACATCTCTGAGTGATCCCAAAGAACACAGCAGAAAGAACACTGAGTCTTAGTTTTGTCTCAGGCAAATTGTGCAACTGATGGAAAAACTAGCTACTGCATGAAGTTCCCCTCCTGGACTTTCCACCACACCCTCCTCTCCAAGATTATCATCATTACAGTGAGTTACAACAATCTACTTCTCAAAAAACTGCCAGGGGGTAGATCCACAACACAGTGCAGCTTCATTAAAAGAAAATAAAATACTTGCAGCAGAAGAAACTTCTAAAATGTCTGAAGGCGGGGATCTCTGTAACCTGAATTTCTCTCATTTAACAGGAAAAGCTAACTTGCATACTCAAGGAGTAGCCTTCTCAACTCTATACGTCTAATCACTGACAGGAAAATACACTGTCTTCATCAAGAACAACAGGGAAAAAAAAACAGGTAGGAAAGATACAGATAAGCACAAGGATCCCCCAACTGAAGACCCTGCTGCCATGAAGGCCAGGGTTCTGGTGGCAGCCTCCTCCCAGGGAGCAGTCCCACTGGGCCACGAGTCCCTGAGCTCCTCCGAGACACGGCAGCCCCCTCCAGCTCCTGGAACCAAATTCCCCCACTGCTACCAGGGCGCACCCCGCTTCCCCTTCCCCACCTTCGCACAGCAGACAGGTTCCCACAGGAGCAAACCAAGGCTGCACTCCCCCCAGGGAGCCCCACTGCGCTCACCACCGCCCCTCACAGCCCTTACGGCGAGCCCCGGTCCCTCAGCCAGGCGGGTCTGGGGGGCCATCCCCGACCCAGGGGCACGGAGGCGGGAGTGGGGGGAGATTCCCGCTGGCACTGCGGCCCGCAAACACCGCTCCTCCCCAGAGCCATTCCCCTTCCCCCGCACCAGCGGCTCCCCTGAGGCGGCAAGGCCTGAGGCGGGGGAGGACATAACCGGGCGGGCCGTACTCACTCTTACGGGCGTCGGCCACCTTCTCGGCGGCGCGGTTCTCGGCCTGCAACAGCTGCTGGATACCCTGCGACTGGCTCGCCATGGCGGCTGCCTCCCTTCACCTCAGCGCGCCGCCGCCGCCGCCGTCGCCGACGTCGTCGCCGACGTCACTACGTCAGGCAAGGCCCCGCCCTAACTCCGCCTCCAACGCCCGGGCCACGCCTCTAAGAGTCAGGCCCCGCCCCAACCCCGCCTCCAGCACACAGGCCACGCCTACAGCACACAAGCCCCGCCCCCCCAACCGTTCGCAGCCCCCTCCGCCGTGGGACATCCCGGTCCCCTCCGGGCAGGAGCATCTCCCGACCGCGGGGGATGTGGGGTCTCACCCCCGAGCACAGAGCCAGCACGGTCTGGTGAGACACACCCCCCTGCAGCGCTGTCTCCCCCTCTGAGACCCCCAACGGCAGAAGGACACGGAGCTGTTGGAGCGGGGCCAGAGGAGGGCACGGAGATGCTGGGAGGGCTGGAGCCCCTCTGCTGGGAGGACAGGCTGGGAGAGTTGGGGGGGTTCAGCCTGGAGAAGGGAAGGCGAAAAAGGGGAGACCTTAGAGCCCGTTTCAGTGCCTAAAGGGGCTCCAGGAGAGCTGGGGAGGGACTTTTTACAAGTGATAGGATGAGGGGGAATGGCTTCAAACTGGAAGAAGGGAGATTTAGATTAGATATTAAGAAGAAATTCTTTACTCTGAGGGTGGTGAGGCACTGGCCCAGGTTGCCCAGAGAGGTGGTGGATGCCCCATCCCTGGAAACATTCAAGGTCAGGTTGGACAGGGCTCTGAGCAACCTGATCTCGTTGAAGATGTCCCTGCTCACAGCAGGGCAGTCGGACTAGATGGCCTTTAAAGGTCCCTCCCAACCCAAACTATTCTATGATTCTATGAATTTATAATCATCCAGGACCATCTTCTCCAGGGGCTCCCAGGGGAGCCGGGCCCCTCTACTCCAAACAAACACACCCCAACCCCACTCCAGCCCATCCCTTGGCCATCATATCCCAGGGATGATTTAAAACCCTGAACACGGCTGCCCCGACACTTTCAGAGCATAAATTACAATTATTGCCACGGGTAAAGCATCAGAACCGTGACAGTGACTCACACCACTGCAGGGCGGAATGGGGGGATGCTGGTCCGCCTCTTCCATCCCGCATGATGGACGGGACCGGAGACAGTGAATCAATGCATATTTATAGTACGAATGGGAATGATGAGGTTTTGGCAGGGTGACCTTCATCTGGGCCCAGCGATTAACTAAATGTCCTTCGCGGGCCTGTCCATGCAGTGTTATATTTGCTTCAGAAAAAGGGAAGATGGGGAGAAGGGCTCTGGTAGTAGACCTGTTTTGAAGCAAACCTGCGTAGTTCGTGTGACCGGGGAGCCGCAGCCGCTGGCCGCAAAGGGGCCAGCGGCCACGTGGCACCGTCCGCTCCCGTTGGGCATGGAACTGTGCTGGCAGAAGGGAAACCCGGCAAATCTGGTCCCAAGTCATCTCTCCCCTTGGTTCGGCCGAGGGGATGCAGTTCAGGTGCTGCGCTGGTTATCGGTGAGCACAGGAGGAAAAAGGGAGAAAATGAGGGTCTGGTTCAAAAGATGCCACAGCACCTTGAGAGGCGGTGGGGTTCAGCTGGGCCACATCCGAGAGGTTTTACAAGAGAAGTGGCCCAAAAATGGAAGTTGTCTCACCTGCCCTCCCTGCCCTCCTCTCACCTCAGACCTCTGCAAAAGCCACCAAATTAATTAAACTCTCCCACTGGCTCCTGCAGCCCTCGGATGATGCCTCCATCTCATTTCCATCAAGAAACTCACCATCCTCATTACCCGCTGCCATTTTTTCAGGGATGTTCATCTGCTGCTAATTAAAACACTTGAGCTGAACCCACAAATTACCCCTGCAGCAGGATGCTGCTGGTGAAGGTGACACGACGCATTGAGCAGGGTTTGCAGCAAAGGGGCCGAAACGCGCCCAGCTCTCCCCTGAAGTCACAGCGGACACCAGGGTGTTATTTTCCTTCTGGGTGATGGTGATTTTCAGACTCGCTGCTTCTGTCTGTAAGATAATGATGCCCCCAGAAATATCCTGGCTGTGATCATGCTACATTTTCAGACAAAAATCCCTCCCAAAGTACGGCTTTGGGTTGACCAAAAACATCTGATGAGTGTTCAGTGATTTCATTTTGATGGTTAACAAATGAGGCAATAATAGTTTGTATTTAAAACAACTCTTTGTTTGGTTGCGTTGCTTTCTAGTTTCAGATTGCTCAAAAGCTAATTGAAACCTCATGGTGTGCATCACATGAATCACATGAGAATCTGAAAGGTCTTTGATCAACTTTTCAATTCACTTAAAATTTTGAAAAATCACTTCTCACTTATTGCAAAAAAAAAAAAAAAAGTATTTCCAATTCTCAGACTGGCTTTTGCATGAATAAGAGAGCTGCTTGTACAGCTTTAATTCTATCAGCGATGGATTTATAATTAATTAGCATCACAAGTGCTTCTGCACTTGGCTTTTATTCCCCTAGATTCATTGTACAGGAGCTTGTCACTCCCGATTACAGAGAAAGCGCTCTTGCTGAAACTGATACCACCATCCCGTTATCTGCCCAGTGCCTTTTTTTTAATACTGTAAACTTGACTAATCCTAAATCTCACGTACCTCACACTCAACGAAGACCGGAGGAAGAACATCTTTAGGAGGCTGAGGCTGGTCCTGCTCTTTACCATGGGAAAATAAATTGCTAAAATCTTTCTGGCACAAAACTCCTTCCCCTGGTGCTGTTGGGGCGTTGCTCAAAGCCGGCGAGTCCTGCCCGCTCCCTGCCCCCCCTCCCCGCCTGTCCCACTGAGACTCCAGACTCGCTGGCTATCCATACAGATGTTTAAGCAACACGAAAATTGTGCTATTTTAGAAATACCATCTCGGCACCTGGAGTCTGTCGGGATCTGAATGCCCCGGTGCCCGCGGAGCACGGAGGAGCGCTGGGCCAGGGGGGAGACTCGGGGCTCATGTGCCGGCTCTTGCCAGAAAGGGAGGACTGTCCTGCAGAGCTTGAAGGAAACAGAAGCATTTCATTTTTCTTTGGCTGTTTCTACAGATCTCATTAATGAAAGTGAAATTAAACACATTTCTTATTTAATTTTCTTCTCCCCCCCCAAGCTGCTTTTTTTCTTGCCAGCACTGAAGACCGATTTTCATTTTGGAGTGACGCCTTTCGTCTTTCTGCTTTTGTTCTACACTGGGTCATAACTCCAAACACATGTTATACTGATTTCTGAAATAACAGAAGATGTTTCCAGAATCAGGAATTAAAAAAAAAATAAAAATACAGATTTCTTTTGTCTTTGTTTCTCTTTTAGTTTCCAAGCACAAAAAACTATGTGCCATGTCTTATGATCCTGCAGTCATTAAGGATTCCAAGACACAGCTCGTAAGAATGAGATTTTAAACATTGTGTCTGGCTTCTTTCCAGATCAGGTAATTACATTTTTCCCCTCTGTAAATTCCCCTGCACTTTCAATTGGATACGTTATTATTCTCCATTCCCCAACTTAAACTGTTATGCTTTGCAATTGTCTACTCTTTTAAAAAACGGTTTTGTGTTGAATGCTTGGGAACCGAACTGGTTTCTCTCTTCTGAGGTTTAATTCATTAACACCAAACACTTTGAGGCATTGAGAAGATGCAGCTGTTGGTTCAGGTCAAATGATCATTGGTCAATCATTAAAAGACTACCAATGAACAATTAGTGATTAGTATTCATGGTTTGGAGGTATATTTTAAATTTATAAACTGAGTGTTAGAAATCTAAGCACAACACAGCAGTAAAATTTATGCAGAAAAATCAATAAAACCTACAGCTGCAAACATCAGTACCGCTTGACTGCACCTTACCTACACCAAGAATTTGCCCCAAATAAGAAAGAATCTTTCATTTTTCATTTGGAGTTTCTCTGCGATCAAGAACAGTTTAAAGCCTGGAGTAACCTGGTTACGGTGATGGAATTACACCAGAAGAATACACTTATGTTTATATTGTAAGAATTGATTTTTTTTTAAAAAAAAAAAAGCAGTTCAAGAAGCCGTACTTCTGCTGCCAGCTCTTCTTACCTCTCTTTGGGAAACGCGGGCTGCTGTGGGGTGCTGGTTTCGATGGTTCTCCAGGCGTCCCCGGGTCGCTCTCTCCCACCGCCGCATCTTCATGGCTGCAGCCCCTTCTGCCGGGCTCCCACCCACCGACCCCCTGCCCCCGCACCAGCCAGCCCCTTTCCGA